ATTCAACTATCTCTGTCTCCGTCTGACGCGTCGGATCTCCTTGTCGCACGTGCGCGGTGTTGACCTACTCCGCGCGAGATCAATGAACTCGCGAGCACAACAACGAAATGTAAACAAACCTAGCCACCGCATTGACTTGAAACTAAAATCGCTGTATCTCCGGAACTAATTACGCTATCGATTTGTACGAACGCTCATTTTAAAGGGCATTTCATCCCCTATCCGACGACCATATCAACTATTATTATTTATGTTTTCTTCTATGTTTATTTTCACATTTACTTTGACGCTACATACCCAAAGTAGTTTCAGCACTTCCTATTGATCATACGACTAGTGTACGATAAATTGTTTATTTAATTGAAAATTAATCTAAATACAGGGTGTTTTCGTAATTACTAACCAGCACTTTTGCTTAAATAGTTGTTTCCTCTAGAACTAACTACGGTATCGACTTTGAACAAAATTCGTTTTCAACGGCGTTTTATCTCCTATACAGTGAACATTAAAAAATTTGTTAACATAAAAGAGAAGGATACCTTACAAATAAACATCAAAACACAACTTTCCATATGTATAATGCAAAAATTAGAAGTACGTTACCTCGTAAAAGAGAAAAAGAAAGACAGGTCATTTGACCAGTCATGGTAGGGATGGGTTAATCAACAACTGACGCACGATAATACATTCAATGGCAATTCGTTCATTTACGGGTTCCTAAAATAGCCTTAACTTACAAATAGATAAAATCCCAATTTTCTTCCCAAATTATTAAATTTACAGGAAAAAATAATCTTCTATATTTCCTGCCAATTAGACGTTAAATAATCCATGTATGAAACCAGTTTAACATTTAAAAGTATTTAAGGATCTTTTCTTATTATTTTGTATTTTGATTTTATATCATGCGAATCAAGCAACATAATACTTTTTATTAAAATATATATAGATCTGTTTTATTCCAACAACGTCGCTACTATCGAACCTAATTTGGTCTCGACGCAAATTCTGAAAAAATTTCGCTTCCCTTTGCGTTGGTTGGGCAACGTGTACTCGCGTCTCTGCTTCTTCGGTTCCCTATTTTTTTTTTTTAAACGGTCAGGACGCTACACCGGTCAAAAAACGCTCTTTGATCGTGGGGTAGTAGTACGACGGAAGTTGTTTGGTTGCTCCTCTTCCTTTCGCAAATAGCGAAATTTGTCCGTGTACACGGCGACGGTGACGGGGAAAAGGCGTACCGTGGAAATTCGTGAGAAATTTCACGATGCATCTATATTTGTCCCGGCTGTCGAGAAATTCGTGGAAGGCGCCTCGTTGAGTGCCGGCACTTGCCGTCTTCAAGCCAAGGTGAGACATGGGGCGGACCCGCGTTAACGTCAGCGTTTACAGCGCCCTGATGCCGCGATTTTGATAACCATGAACACCTTGTCTTCCTCGGGCTCGACCTTTACCTCTGGCAAATACGTTCTAATTATAGTCTGAAAATAAAAAGAGATCTCTACGACGATCTCGGGGACACGACGGAGCATCGAGATCGAACCGGTGCTCGAAGGGTGGAAAAGCGTTCGAAAACGCGTGGAGTTTTCCCGATACTTCGTAAACCGGGCGAAGAATCCGACGGAGGAAAAACGCCACGGCCAACGAAGCCAAAGTTTCGCGATACATTTCGCTTCCATTTGCAAATGTATTTCTTATAGTGGCCGTCTGTTCTTTCAGGCTCTAGCGCGAGTTACGAAGTTGTTTCCTGCTTGTTGCGCGGAGACAACAAGAAGCGGAGGCTTCGTACTCTCGTCCGCCTCTTTCGAATTCCAAGTTTCGCCACTCCGCGAGAATTGGTCGCGTTCCAGTCGAATAAGGTACCATGTCGGATACGTATGAAGCAACGAATCGCTTTTTCGCGGATCTCTTTGAATTCGGAGCACCAAAGAAAATAATGCACTCGGCGTATGTACGCAACAGTTGAGGAACTGGGAAAAATTTTAATGGACGATTCTAGAGGCCAAAATAAGACGAAAGTTAAGAATAGCAATTTATTGATTGAGGCTTCGTTAAGAAGTTATTAACGTTTAAAGTTCCACCTGTACTGAATTTTTTTCTCGAAAATGCGCAGGAATTCGGGGGTATATCTATTCATAAAAAATGATTGTAATTGACCCCCGCAACTGAAAATAATTTTTCCAGAGCGATTTGAAATTTTCTTTTTTGCTGAAGAATTTGTCTACTTATTCAAATTTTTTTCTCAAAAGTGCGTAGGATTTTGGGGGTGTATCTTTTGATAAAAAATGCTTGTAATTGACCCCTGCAACCAAAAATAATTTTTCTATAATGATTTGAAATTTTTTAATTTTGTCGAAAATTTCATACCTTCTTGAATTTTTTTCTCGAAAGTAGATAGGATTTCGAGGATATGTCTAATGACCAAAAATGATTGTAATTAACCCCCGAATCGAAAATAATTTTTCTATAATGATTTGAAATTTTTTAATTTTGTCGAAAATTTCACACCATCTCGAATTTCTTTCTCGAAAGTAGGTAGGATTTGGAGGGTACGTCTAATGACCAAAAATGATTGTTATTGACTCCCACAACCGAAAATAATTTTTCTATAATGATTTGAAACTTTTTAATTTTGTCGAAAATTTCACACGTTCTCGAATTTTTTTCTCGAAAGTAGGTAGGATTTGGAGGGTACGTCTACTGACCAAAAATGATTGTAATTGACCCCCACAACCGAAAATAATTTTTCTATAATGATTTGAAATTTTTTAATTTTGTCGAAAATTTCACACCATCTCGAATTTCTTTCTCGAAAGTAGGTAGGATTTTTAGGGTATGTCTAATAACCAAAAATGATTGTAATTGATCCCCGCAACCAAAAAATAATTTTTTTTAAATTTAAAGCAAAATTTAAGCGCTTTGTCGATTTTTCTTAGAAATTCGTTTTTGATTTTTAATAATTTTGTTTGACGCCCTACAGAAAAGTTGTCCAATACCAATCGAGACACCAAGTTGAATCAACACCAAACAATCAATCGAAATGGAAAAATCAACAAAGTACCTCCGTAGAATATTACGAGAATTCGAGCAAGAACGTAAAAATAAAAATTCATGAAGTTATATAGAAACAAATATAGTATATAATTGAAAACAATATTACATTATTATATCCTGCAATATTATACCTATCAAAGCAGTCACATAAATTCGAAAAACAATGTAAAAGTAGAAACAGAGAAAAAGAACATTCATAATAACCAAATAAAATCAGATAGATAAATAAAGTTGAATTCACAACAAACAAACAAATAAAAGTAATAAAATATAAATAAGTAGAGTGGACTTACTACTTGTTGTCAGTACATAGGGTAGTTATCACTGGGTCAGCTGTAAAGTAAGAAAATATTCATATTATAGCAACATCAGTTAGACAGGCAAGGCAAAATCAGTTCATTGAAGCAAAATTGGCATAAAATGATAGAATAGAAGAGGGGAGAGAATTTTTAAACAGTTCTTACCGTTGGTCATCACCGTCCGGCACTGGTCAGTAGTGGTCAGTAGTGGTCAGTACTGGTCAGTCATGGTCAGCGCTGGCCAGTAGTGGTCAGCAGCGGCCGGCAGAGGTCAGCAGCGGCCCCCGGTACTCTTCTGGCGATTTGTACACTCCCGAATCCGCGACGAGACTGAAGAATTCTTCGCAGTGATCCTGCTTATCTGTCTAAGATAATGAAAGAGTAGGGAGACCAGTCAGAGCCAACGTTAAAGTTAACAGTTAAGACTGTCTCGTCTACAAAGAAACTATTTCGATTGGTCCCACCTCTTGACCATTTCTGGATCTTCACTGGACCGCTGACCTTGATGTCAACCTCATTGTTGACCACCAGTGACCATAAGCTAGTCATTGTTGATCATCGACCCACTAAAACCATTACGAAGATTAAAGCCTTCTCACGCGGATCCCCTTACAATTTGATGCATGATCTTTTTAACATTTTGTTCCACTTTGGAAGAGTGTATCTCGTTAATTTTTGTCTTTTTGTACGTCAGTTTGAACAATTGCCATACGTGGGCGAAAAATTCGGAGGTGATTTTAGCGTCCTCTTCTCATGAATGGCGGTCAGTTGAGATACTATTCACTGAATTGGTACTGATAGGCAAACAATTGACTATGGAAGGAACTAAAATTCATTTCTGAATCTGTTGGCGAGTGACACGAAAATGCTAATGGGGTCCCGGGACCCCAGAGAAACGAGCCAAAAAAATACATTAGGTGAAAGGTCTACTCGTATACCTCGTCTGTGATAGTACAATACGTCTGCCATAACATCTATTGGTAACCCTAACTACTCCCCAAAGTATCATTGCAGGAGTTTGATTAATGGTTTCACGCTCAGTTAGAAGACACTATAGAAGATTCTAAACTCTGTTCAATGTATTAACACAACATACAATACTGAAACTACAATATAATTGGAATACTGATTTATTGTAATAATCGGATACGTCTTTTCGATTTGTTGACGTAAGGGCAACCCCTCAATTCTGTCGATGACAAGCAATGCATTCTTCGATAATATTACTCTTGCATAACAATAACTAAATAATTAAATAACTACTAAGTGAACCCACGATGGTATATTGTTAAAGGAGAAGAAAAAATTTATTTTTTAGAATTCCATTCTTATTTATTTTATACTGATGACTTTTTTTTTAAATTCTGTAAAAAGTTATTCACACCTTTTGTAATCACTTTTGTAAACTGTTATATTCATCTATAGCTATAGCTGTAACTCTCACGAGAGATTCACGAAGCTAAATAATAGAAAAAAAAATTACAACATAATACGGCGGAAATGTGACTTTTAATTATCCATTTTTAATAAACGATAAACTCCACTAATGTTGACATTCGAATAACGGAGATTTCTGTTAATTCGAAAAGAAGATTCTACCTATCGTAGTTAGATGACGTTTGTAACGATTTTTGTTTATCAAATTCGCAGGACTCGACAAAGTTGCCGATCTCGGACGTGCGAAACGGAACCTCGGTGAACATCACTGGGCTCAGCTTGAGGGAGAAGGACCTGGATGGAATTAATTTGGTAATTGCGAATAGATGTCTATCTTTTAATCGAGTGAACCAGCCAGCATTTTTCGCCGTTTCGAATTCCGCCCGGAGCCCCGATCGCGCGGTTTTAAAAGTGAAATATTCATGGGATGCGCGTGGCAACGAATCGGGCTACGTTTCCTTGTTAATTGGGATTTTTATCGGCTCTGAATGGAACTCTTGGAAATCGGTATTTGCAAAGCTGAACGGCTGTAGTAGGCGTCGATATCCGCGAGACTTAAGCGATGCTGAATAAATATTTTAGGCATTTGTATTTTCGGAATCCAATGAATATTAAACACAACCGAATCTCGTGGAAATTTTCTAAGAATTTGATTAATTTCAAAGTGAAACTTTGTAATTTTTCTTTTTGGACTAACAGAACATTTAAAACTATATTAAGAACTTTTTAAAACGGTTATTTTCAGAGGACGTTTTTTACGATCGGATTCCAAATATAATTTTCCAGCATCGATATTGATGAAAAATAATTGAAAGCTTTTTTTAATCGAGCCGGAATAAACTTCGTCTGTTTTCAGATCTTTTTATTGTTGTGTACCCATATTATATTAAATTCCACGATAAAAGTTATAAAGAACGATGGCAGAGATTCCAGCAGATACGATAAAAACGCGAAAAGTATATTACATTCGATATCGCATTAAAGGGGACCTCGTAGTCTTCTCAAAGTCTACGTCTGTAATATTTTATTCAACAAAAGTAACAAAGCGTCTCTTCGACTATGAACCTATCCATATTACAGTCAGCTTTTCAATTTAATCTCACAGAGTAGCTTTAAAATGGAAATATTATGAATTACAAATTAATTTCTACATTCTAAACCGGAGATAAAGTGATTAAAGCTAGTAGAAATGGATTAAGGAAAACGAATGTATATTTATATTATCTATACATACATGAAACGAATTTGATCATTCAAGATGCTTAAATTATCCTCTAAACTTGAAAAATCTTTAAAAACCAAAGTATTATAAGTCAATGAATTCACACTGAAATTCATTTTAGAGAACCAAGGTCTCTTTAAAATCTTAAAAGCATGTCCACCTAGCAAAAATGTGTAAGATATCTCCCTCGAAACAGGGTAAATCGTATTTGAATCATTTTTTGAAACGAAAGTTTAGAAGATCATTGAGTGTGAAACTTCAAATGGGACACCCTGTATAATAGATATTCAGACTTACGATTTAAAAACTTAAAAAACTTGTTAACGCAGCCACTGTATAAATGTGATAATTATTCTATTATTTATCTGTTGCGATATATTACGTAATACTATAGATCATCCACATACTTATAGTCTATCATCGATGATCGCCATGTTTACTTCAATGCAGTCATTCATGACATCAAAACGTTCGACCGTTACAAGTCACTTCGAGTTTCCGGTTCGGTTCGAATTTCAAACTACAGTGATGATTCTTAAAATGAACTTCATACGTGATTCGTAAGTTGAACATTTCTATCCCTCCAAACTGAGGGGGGATCCCTCTTGTAGCCAGTGAAATATGAAAGGCAACATTTTAAATTAAGTGAGCTTAAGCCAGACCTAACTCCAGGTGTGATTCGTAAGTTGAACATTTCTATCCCTCTAAATTGACGAGGGGACCCTCTTGTAGCCAGTGAAATATGAAAGGCAACATTTAAAAATGATATGAACTTAACCCAGACCTAACTCCAGGTGTGATTCGTAAGTTGAACATTTCTATCCCTCCAAACTGAGGGGGGCATCCCTCTTGTAGCCAGTGATATATAAAGGCAACATTTAAAAATGATATGCTGCTTAACCCAGACCTAACTCCAGGTGTGATTCGTAAGTTGAACATTTCTGTCCCTCGAAACTGAGGGGGGATCCCTTTTGTAGCCAGTGAAATATGAAAGGCAACATTTAAAAATGATATGAGGTTAACCCAGACCTAACTCCAGGTGTGATTCGTAAGTTGAACATATCTATCCCTCCAAACTGAGGGGGGATCCCTCTTGTAGCCAGTGAAATATGAAAGGCAACATTTTAAATTAAGTGAGCTTAAGCCAGACCTAACTCCAGGTGTGATTCGTAAGTTGAACATTTCTATCCCTCTAAATTGATGAGGGGTCCCTCTTGTAGCCAGTGAAATATGAAAGGCAACATTTAAAAATGATATGAACTTAACCCAGACCTAACTCCAGGTGTGATTCGTAAGTTGAACATTTCTATCCCTCCAAACTGAGGGGGGCATCCCTCTTGTAGCCAGTGATATATAAAGGCAACATTTAAAAATGATATGCTGCTTAACCCAGACCTAACTCCAGGTGTGATTCGTAAGTTGAACATTTCTGTCCCTCGAAACTGAGGGGGGATCCCTTTTGTAGCCAGTGAAATATGAAAGGCAACATTAAAAAATCATATGAGCTTAACCCAGACCTAACTCCAGGTGTGATTCGTAAGTTGAACATTTCTATCCCTCCAAACTGAGGGGGGATCCTTCTTGTAGCCAGTGAAATGCGAAAGGCAACATTTAAAAATGATATGAGGTTAACCCATACCTAACTCCAGGTGTGATTCGTAAGTTGGGCATTTCTATCCCTCCAAACTGAGGGGGGATCTCTCTTGTAGCCAGTGAAATATGAAAGGCAACATTTAAAAATGATATGAGCTTAACCCAGACCTAACTCCAGGTGTGATTCGTAAATTGAACATTTCTATCCCTCCAAACTGACGAGGGAATCCCTCTTGTAGCCAGTGAAATATGAAAGGCAACATTTAAAAATGATATGAGCTTAACCCAGACCTAACTCCAGGTGTGATTCGTAAATTGAACATTTCTATCCCTCCAAACTGAGGGGGGCATTCCTCTTGTAGCCAGTGATATATAAAGGCAACATTTAAAAATGATATGCTGCTTAACCCAGACCTAACTCCAGGTGTGATTCGTAAGTTGAACATTTCTGTCCCTCGAAACTGAGGGGGGATCCCTTTTGTAGCCAGTGAAATATGAAAGGCAACATTTAAAAATGATATGAGGTTAACCCAGACCTAACTCCAGGTGTGATTCGTAAGTTGAACATATCTATCCCTCCAAACTGAGGGGGGATCCCTCTTGTAGCCAGTGAAATATGAAAGGCAACATTTTAAATTAAGTGAGCTTAAGCCAGACCTAACTCCAGGTGTGATTCGTAAGTTGAACATTTCTATCCCTCTAAATTGATGAGGGGTCCCTCTTGTAGCCAGTGAAATATGAAAGGCAACATTTAAAAATGATATGAACTTAACCCAGACCTAACTCCAGGTGTGATTCGTAAGTTGAACATTTCTATCCCTCCAAACTGAGGGGGGCATCCCTCTTGTAGCCAGTGATATATAAAGGCAACATTTAAAAATGATATGCTGCTTAACCCAGACCTAACTCCAGGTGTGATTCGTAAGTTGAACATTTCTGTCCCTCGAAACTGAGGGGGGATCCCTTTTGTAGCCAGTGAAATATGAAAGGCAACATTAAAAAATCATATGAGCTTAACCCAGACCTAACTCCAGGTGTGATTCGTAAGTTGAACATTTCTATCCCTCCAAACTGAGGGGGGATCCTTCTTGTAGCCAGTGAAATGCGAAAGGCAACATTTAAAAATGATATGAGGTTAACCCATACCTAACTCCAGGTGTGATTCGTAAGTTGGGCATTTCTATCCCTCCAAACTGAGGGGGGATCTCTCTTGTAGCCAGTGAAATATGAAAGGCAACATTTAAAAATGATATGAGCTTAACCCAGACCTAACTCCAGGTGTGATTCGTAAATTGAACATTTCTATCCCTCCAAACTGACGAGGGAATCCCTCTTGTAGCCAGTGAAATATGAAAGGCAACATTTAAAAATGATATGAGCTTAACCCAGACCTAACTCCAGGTGTGATTCGTAAATTGAACATTTCTATCCCTCCAAACTGAGGGGGGCATTCCTCTTGTAGCCAGTGATATATAAAGGCAACATTTAAAAATGATATGCTGCTTAACCCAGACCTAACTCCAAGTGTGATTCGTAAGTTGAACATTTCTATTCTTTCCAATTGGAGGGAGCTTCCTTAAAATCAGTAAAGCGTGAAAGATGACATTTAACACTTTAATGGCCGCACGTATCCCGCGAAAACCGTTGTCAGTCGCCCCTGATTGTAGTGTTGTATGACTAACTCATAAGCCAACATAGATGCCGCATCAGAATCATCCTTACACCAACATCCTAGTCATAGTTTCCAAATTCCAGCCTTTCTAGCCTCCTGTACCCGCTTACTTGTTCCGTACGCCACCATTGCTACTCTCAAATATGTAAACGACGCACATTTTTTGGCTCAGGTCAGATCTCTGAAGTTTGTACCAACGCAACGTGCGGAACTTGCCGTAACGATCTAATAAACCCACCAGTCTCTTTAGTAAAGTGTTGTTCTTAATCTCGCAACCCGCGCGATACAAAGTAGTGAAAGATGCAAAGTGGGATACACGAAGATGCTAGGAATATTATTATAAGGAATTATAAATGTATCCTCAACAAACGTAATAAGTTGAATGTATGATGCCTGTGAATGGTGACTGATACAGTAGATCACGCGCACGTGACTGTGGCTGACGTGTGCTGACTCGCAAAGTCACGTATACATGCCAACGATGGAACGATGTTCATTTTAAGAACTATTACTGTATAGTCCAGGCCACTATATAGCGAGGTCGTAAACTCGAGTAGGTGTCAAAGTTTACACGTTTCAGCTCCCAGAACAAGCTAAAGACCTTAGACCATAATCAGAGTCGTACGAAGAAATGTTTCATCCAGTGTCGCCATTTTTAGAGGTATTGTAACAGGACACAGAAAGACACGCTCAAGCAAGATGTCATGTGCGGCCCTAGGTGTCGCAGCAGTAGTCAGTCCCAACCCTCAAGAGTTTAGTTTACGACCCTGCTATATCATGGCCCGGACTATACTCGAATATTCAAACATTGTAACACTTCTGCCAGGTGCTTATTTTGCTTGCTGGTTGATTCAACCCAGGATAGAACCTTGTTAAATTCGTGAGTTGAGACCACGAGCACGCTCAAGCAAGATGTCATGTGCGGCCCTAAGTGTCGCAGCAATAGTCAGTCCCAACCCTCAAGAGTTTAGTTTACGACCCTGCTATAGCGTGGCCCGGACTATACTCGAATATTCAAACATTGTAACACTTCTGCCAGGTGCTTATTTTGCTTGCTGGTTGATTCAACCCAGGATAGAACCTTGTTAAATTCGTGAGTTGAGACCACGAACACGCTCAAGCAAGATGTCATGTGCGGCCCTAAGTGTTGCAGCAGTAGTCAGTCCCAACCCTCAAGAGTTCAGTTTACGACCCTGCTATAGCGAGACCCGGACTATACTCGAATATTCAAACATTGTGACACTTCTGCCAGGTGCTTATTTTGCTTGCTGGTTGATTCAACCCTGGATAGAACCTTGTTAAATTCGTGAGTTGAGACCACGAGCACGCTCAAGCAAGATGTCATGTGCGGCCCTAAGTGTCGCAGCAATAGTCAGCCCCAACCCTCAAGAGTTTAGTTTACGACCCTGCTATAGCGTGGCCCGGACTATACTCGAATATTCAAACATTGTAACACTTCTGCCAGGTGCTCACTTTGCTTGCTGGTTGATTCAACCCTGGATAGAACCTTGTTAAATTCGTGAGTTGAGACCACGAGCACGCTCAAGCAAGATGTCATGTGCGGCCCTAAGTGTCGCAGCAATAGTCAGTCCCAACCCTCAAGAGTTTAGTTTACGACCCTGCTATATCATGGCCCGGACTATACTCGAATATTCAAACATTGTAACACTTCTGCCAGGTGCTTATTTTGCTTGCTGGTTGATTCAACCCAGGATAGAACCTTGTTAAATTCGTGAGTTGAGACCACGAGCACGCTCAAGCAAGATCTCATGTGCAGCTTTAAGTGTCGCAGCAGTAGTCAGTCCCAACCCTCAAGAGTTTAGTTTACGACCTTGTTATAGCGTGGCCCGGACTATACTCGAATATTCAAACATTGTAACACTTCTGCCAGGTGCTCACTTTGCTTGCTGGTTGATTCAACCCTGGATAGAACCTTGTTAAATTCGTGAGTTGAGACCACGAGCACGCTCAAGCAAGATCTCATGTGCAGCTTTAAGTGTCGCAGCAGTAGTCAGTCCCAACCCTCAAGAGTTTAGTTTACGACCTTGCTATAGCGTGGCCCGGACTATACTCGAATATTCAAACATTGTAACACTTCTGCCAGGTGCTTATTTTGCTTGCTGGTTGATTCAACCCTTGTTAAATTCGTGGAGTAGAGACCACGAGTACAAGTTGTGGACAAAACGCAGGAAGGGGAATACCAGACACGCGCGGAAAACGATTCTTTCTGATCGCGTTCGACGAAGTCGTCTCTTGAACGCTCGAGCACGTTTTTCCATCGTCTTCCGGCGATTCCCGCGACTGCGGTCGTGGAGCATGTTCCGCATCGACGTGTTTTAATTATGACTTTTCCACCGTGTGCATAATAAAGCCGTTTACGGCGTCAGTCGTGAAAGAATCGTCTAAATGCGTTCCGCTTCAACCGTCCGAGGTAATTTCTTCATTAACCCCGCGGCATAATGGAGCACCGTGCTCGTGTCTCGAGAATGCAACGAACCCACCCTTATTCCGGGAAATCCACCCGCGACACGGCACTTACGAGCAGCTGACGGGCTGCCTTAATTTTCGTTTCATTAGCCTCCGCCGATTCGCTTTGTATCAAGGCCACGCTCACCGGATAGAGAGCCCACAGCGATATTCCCGCCGTTTCCCTTTCTCCTATATGCAAATGCAACCCCTGTAGCACGATTAAGCCTTGTTGTTTTATAATTTTCCAAGATTGGACGGCTTAATGCTTCATTTCTTATTACAACGTCGCTGCCACGAGGCACGCGGGCAACTTGCTTTTTAAGGAGGCGGGTCACCATTATAGCGCAGAAACGCGCGTCTGCTGGTTACGATTCTTGTTGAAAATTGGAGAAGAATTGTAGAATGAAACTGTAAAATTCTGCCGCGATGAAACGATTCTCTCATAACGCAGACCAGCGGTTTGTGATTTTTTTTTTTCATCCCCTTGGAAAAGAAGGGAAATTTCCACGACAGAGTCACGTGGTAGATTTAAAAAGTTGGACCATTCTAAAGACCGAAAAAAGGACGAAGTTTGTGAATTTTTTGCAGAAAAAGTATTAACTGGAATTAAATTTTCTTAGAATACTCAAATGGTAAACAAAAAGCTGCAAAAAATTTCAAACAAAAGATACTTTTCACAATGCAACAAGCTTAAGACCAAAAACTACCCTTCAAAGTTTTAGCGCCTAACTTTACCTTAAAAATTATTGGAGAAACAAGAAAGTTTTTTTAACAAATTCTGTTTGGTTTTTGAAGGAAATGAGGAAATTAAAATCAGTGACGAAGATAAATTACTTTCATCATTTTTTAAAGCTCGGTGAACATTATTCTGAATTTTCAATTAAATAAAAGTATATTTTTTTATACTAATATTATGATGGCGCAGCAGGGTTAGAGTGAACGTGTAGTTTATATGAACACAGTTTATTTGAGATATGGGCAATAAAAAATAGGTTACATATTTATAGAATGCACAAATGGAGTAATATAAATGACAGTATATAATAGTAATAAACTTTTATTCGGTTACATCTTTAACACGTGCCACAAGCAACAACAAACCGCAGCAGCGAGCGAAGCGACGCGCCACGGCGAGCCCTAACATTACTTGCCGCGGGAATTATAACCCAATTACATATTATATGCATGTTATAAAAATCTCTAAGCGATCCGCGTTGTTGGAGTCCAAGGTAGAACACGAGTTGTTGGTGCAGACTGGTTTAATATCGACTGGACTACAGTTTCGATTGAACACAATAGCTATTCAAAGTTTACTAAATTAGTTGAATTTGCGTGTCTCTGTCCGTTTCAATTGAGATATTCTCGTGTTCTATTAAACATTGGAATACTTGCAAACATATCCGCGTCTAATATCAATCAAAATAGGCTTCATTGTCTCGTTGATTCTCTAGAAGATAATTAAGAGATAAAGTGTACTCGTATCATATTCGTTTAGAAATATCAAAAGTTACGAAAAGAAAAAAATAACAAGAATGTTAAATGGCGTAAAGAAAAGAATAGAAAAATGTTTAGAGTGCAATGGAAGACCGTTTGGACATTCGTTGTATAGCAAGTGTCACGTAACATTTGCAAAGTATACCAAAATAGTATAGTGCATTTTAAAGTGGTACAACATTTTTTCATGTCTAACCTGTGTTTGCAAGGAAATTGTTGACTCTTTCAATAAATTCTTCCCCAATGTATGTATATGTATATCATGTTACTTCCTACCAAAAACGGTGCAGAGTGCGTTTAAAAGCTTTCCTTCTGTATCAAATTGTTTTAAATAATTAACTTAAATATCATTAACAAACCGTAACTTTGGAGGGTAGTTTCGCCCATTAAACTTGCCGCGATAGAGATTTAATTAACGAGAGAAGTTTCTGAAAACAATTACCCATGCCATTATATTTCATTTAATAAAGGTTTGAAAAGGTAGAAATAATACTAGCCAGAATAAACATCAGACATTATCTGAATCCCATTTATATCGAAACTTTCTCAAAGTGCTCCGATATTCGTTTGCACGTGGTTGCCTTTCAATTTCCACAACTACCAAAATATTTCACAATTCAACATCATATTTTAGAGGCATATTTCTAAGACCTAAGACTGAGAAAATATTTGAAAAAATTGTTCTTTCTGTACTTACAAACTAGAACACCCCTTTAAGTTATTTAAAATATTGCATGAGGAAAATGATCACTGAAACTGCGAAGGAATACTCAGAATTAATTTTCTGAAAAATGCAGAATGGCAATATCGGTTCAAATCTAATAGACGTTAAATGACAATATTCATATAAATGTTTTAGTATTCTGTTAGTTTGTCCATTAGTAAGATAACAAAGGATAATAACAAATAACTTATTATTTTGGTTTAAAGGAAATGAAAAATTGTAAAATCCTTAACCTCTAAAATTTATACTTCGAACAGTGTTTTAACATATTATAGATACTACAAGATAACCTTGTACGATAATTTTTTATTTATTCAATTGAAACGTAAAAAATGAAAAATATAGGAATATTTATTATTTTACAACGCCACATGACAATATTTCAGGATTGTTTCGAAAACTCGAAAAAATTTTGGCACGAGTGTATAATATTCAATGCAGACTATTGTGAAAGGGATAACGAAAATTTGGAATAATAAATCGGGTATTAAGTAAAATACTACATTTTATTTGCCTTAGGAAGACTAGTATATTTAGAAGTTTATCTGAGGCAAACAAAATAAGCTACTTTTCTTAACGCACGTCGAAATACAAACTTTTTCGAATAAATGCAAGAATTCTTTGATCTTCGAAAAACAATTCACAAGTAGGTCTAAAGTAGAAGTCGGTCATGGCCATTGTTATCTTCATCCGAGATTATCATCTCATATCGGCCATTTTATTCGGGAATTACGGTTCCTTTGGAGCCAATAAAGGGGTAAAAAATATAATACCGAAGCGTTTCGGTTAAAGGGTATCTTAAAAGTTTAATACTTTCGTGCAATAAAGGTGGAATCGGCCGTTCTCTACGATTCTGTATTCCTGCTGTTCAACGCGTTGGAGGCTCTGAACGCAAGGAACAAGGACAGCGAGGAGCCCGTAACCATTGACCCGGTACCGCTCTCTTGTGAAAATACAGAGAAATACAGCGCAGGTCCCAACATTACCAACCTCATGCGCGAGGTAAACCCATCTTTTACTTCTCTGCAAACTCCGGAAACCACCGGCTTAACAAATCTACAGTGATGGACAAAAATATGACACTTTGCATATTTCTATATTTTCTATAATTAAAAGAAGAAAATATACATTTTATGAATCCCACGTGGTACATAGCATCCACAAAATGGGTATACAAAATCCTGAATTTGAAGAAAATACAATGCAGAAGTTGGAAAAAATATGTATACTTGAGTTCAATTTAAATGAACAACATTATAAGACGTTTATAACAATATTTAAAACAATTCAAAAGAAGTTGTTAAATGATAAACAGCTAGAGGTTATACAAAGATATTAATGTAACATTTGATCAAACATGTCAATTATTTTGTTATTGTCTTATAATTTTGTTTAACTAAAATAACCATATATTCAACATGTTTTTTTCTAACCATTTTATTGCATGCCCTTCGAACTTAAGGTTTTTCATACTCACTGTTGAGGTTATATGCAATATATAGGATGTATAAAATGTATAATATGCTTCTTTTATATATGTATACAAAATACATAACTATTCGATAAGTTTTATATTTTTGTCCGCAATATAATTGCTATCAGCTGCTTGGAATATAAATGGCGGCTGTCAAGAGTTACATTTTAAACTTTAACTGCTTATATCTCGAAAAAGAAGCTTCAAATTGCAAAATGGTAGAGAACTTGTTAATTCCTTTTTGTACGAGGAATTCGTAGATTTTAACTTGTCCACATCTTTTATAATAGTTATTTTCTTGTTTTATATTTTTGTCCAATATTGTATAATTGCTATCAGCTGCTTGGAACATAAATGGCGGCTGTCAAGAGTTACATTTTAAACTTTAACTGTTTATATCTCGAAAAAGAAGCTTCAGATTGCAAAATGGTAAAGATCTTGTTGAATTCCTTTTTGTACGAGGAATTCGTAGATTTCAGCTTGTCCACATCTTTTATAATAGTTATTTTTTTGTTTTATATTGTTATCCAATATTGTATAATTGCTATCAGCTGCTTGGAATATAAATGGCGGCTGTCAAGAGTTACATTTTAAACTTTAACTGCTTATATCTCGAAAAAGAAGCTTCAGATTGCAAAATGGTAGAGAACGTATTAATTCCTTTTTGTACGAAGAATTCGTATATTTCAGCTTGTCCACATCTTTTATAATAGTTATTTTCTTGTTTTATATTTTTGTCCAATATTGTATAATTGCTATCAGCTGCTTGGAACATAAATGGCGGCTGTCAAGAGTTACATTTTAAACTTTAACTGTTTATATCTCGAAAAAGAAGCTTCAGATTGCAAAATGGTAAAGATCTTGTTGAATTCCTTTTTGTACGAGGAATTCGTAGATTTTAGCTTGTCCACATCTGTTATAATAGTTATTTTCTTGACCTAAAATTGTGATTGAAGTTGTTCACTTTCTTTATCATTTAAGAAGATTATTTCTTGATAGAATCAAAGTAATGGAACGTTGATTTTATAGCTGTCGAAGGAAGGTAGGATTACAGGGCCAATAACGATCAACGAGAATGGTCGTCGTGACTATTTTAATATCAAAATCATGGACGTGAGGTCAGGGAAGAGCGTTCAAATCGGATATTGGGATCCAGATGGAATTCACACGGTAGGCAGCGAAGAGGAACGTGAGAACTACTGGTACAAGTCCATCGAGCAGAAGAAGTTCATGATTACCACCAAAGTGGTGCGTACTTTGAGAACTCCGATCTTCCTCGTCAAACTTTCTCAAGTACATATCTGTACTATAAACTACAGTCAGTCACAGAAGTCTGCATGCATCTGCTATAGCATGAATATCAAAGTAAGCTAATCATTCAAACCCCTTAAGAGATTGTTCATCTTCAGAACCAAAGGCCTGCAATAACACGGTAAATTTCTGTAAACTTCATTTCGAATACATCTGCAACATTTATATTTACATTTTTATAACGTTGTAAATATTTTTTTTACTGAGTTTAATTTTTAAATTGATAAATATAATAGGTAGTAATTTCACTTGATTTTATTAAAACAAAAAAGAATTTAGTGATATATATATCTTACAAATGTACTTATTGGCATTAACATTATATTTTTAACAACGACGTTTTCGACTTTGATGTGTTCAAGTACTTGAAAATACCAGCTGAGTCAAGCTTAGCTAAATTGTTTACGTTAAACCAAGTATTTGATTGTTTAAGTAATTTTGATTGTCCAAGCAAGCTTGATTTTTTTTTTTTTATTGAAGCATTTGAAACCCTTTTGGGTTTATTTCGCTTTACAGAAATAATGTAAATTGGTACAATAATATAGAATACAGAAATAATACAAATGAATACAGTAACAATGTCAGTTAACACTAAATATGCAAATTACAATTTTTGAAAAAAGAATGAATACAGCAAGCTTGATTATATATTCTTACTTAATTCCAGTATTATATTTGATTAATAAATTTCATTTAGTTTAGCTTACATAAAATAAAGACTATTCATAATAATTGTAGCAATTTAAAAAAAACTGTTCGTTTAAATAACTTTGGGTGACTTGATTTACCAACAAATTAAGAGAAGTTAAAAATAATTCTTACAATTAATATATAAGTTTTTAATTTATTTCATCATTATCTCATTTTGTATAAACAATCAAGTTGTTAAAACATTTAAACAGATTGAATTTGAACTTTTCTGAAGTTTGATCAAATATTCAAGCTACTTGGGTATTCAAATACGTGACTTGGTTTGAAAAAATGAATTTTATTTTGGCTTGAATTTATAATAAAAAGAAAGTTTCTAAAAGAAAAAAGAAAAATTGAATTTTTTAAATTAATCTGTTATAATTTGACATTTGCAGAATTTACCAAAACCGATACCCAAAGGACTAGTAATTAATTTGTGAAAATAATAATTAATATCATCACTTTGATTATAATGTTGCTAATTCGTGCAGTCTATGCAGACTTTCGCGATCGACTTGCAGAAGATGGTAAATGAAAATCCTCCGGAGTCATCGATAACAATTTTCTTAGTAGACTTACAAGGAACCATCGCGAACGGTCCGGCTTCGATTTTGATGAAACTTTGTACACTTATAAAGCAGCCAAAAATAATCGACACGTATTTTTTTTTAGCTGCGGTAACTCGAGTTTAAGGGGTGAAACCACCCCTTGAAGTTTTGGCTCGAAACGGCTATCTCGAAAACGGAAAGACATACAAAAAAATTGTTAATGGGCGAGGTTGATGGTTTCTTATGTACAATAACATGGTGTTAAAAAATTTAAAAAAATACAATTTTTTTATAACAAAAAAAAATTTATTAACTTAATTTTTCATTTTATTGAAATTTTCATAATGACAAAAAATGACGAGCATTTTATTCCAAATCCATTGGTATGCGATTTTTTAAAATTGCCTCCTACAGTTTTGCAGATTTTTATGATTTACATCTTGCGCGCACATCCATTATGGTAGTAGCCGTTCTAACTTTGATTTTAATGAAGCACTGTAGGCTTGCATTACTTCTAGAGGACAAAATCGGGAAAAATACAAGAATACCAATTTGTTGATGAAGGCTTCGTTAAGAAATTATGAAAAAATTAAATTAAAAAATTTCAAATCCTCCAGAAAAAAATTATTTTCGGTTGCGGGGGCCAATTATAATTATTTTTGGTCAATACATATACCCACGAAATCCTACGCACTTTCGAGAAAAAAATTCCTAATCGAAAATGTAATTTATGGCCAGAAATGTTGTCCGAAAAATGCGGATCTTTAAAATGTCATAACTTCTGAACGGATTGAAGGATTTTAATTTTCAAAAATGCAAACGACGCGTATTTTAATCAAGAATACGTAGAAATCGCAAAAATATGCAAAAAGTTGATCCTTGACCCTGCAAAATGAGAAAAACCCCATAAAAATGGTCCAATCTTCAAACAGCCATAATTCCTACAATAGTGAATATATTTCAATGAAACTTGTTTCTGACGTAGAGCTCATAGGTACCTACAAAAAAGTATTGGCCAACTTTTTTGTAGGGCGTCAAACAAAATTATTAAAAATGAAAAACGAATTTTTAAGAGAAATCGTCAGGGCGTAGGTGCCTAAATTTTTCAGCGAAAAAAAAAAATTTCAAATCGTTCTAAAAAAATTATTTTCAGTTGCGGGAGTCAATTTCAATCATTTTTGGTCAACATATATACCCCCGAAATCCTACGCACTTTTGAGACAAAAATTCGAGAATGTGTGAAATTTTTCAACAAAATTAAAAAATTTCAAACCATTCTGAAAAAATTATTTTCGGTTGCAGGGGTCGATTACAATCATTTTTGGTCATTACACATTCCCCCGAAATCTTGGGCATTTCGGAGAAAAAAATTCAGTACGGGCGGAACTTTAAACGTTAATAATTTCTTAACGAAGCCTCCATCAACAAATTGGTATTCTTGTATTTTTCCCGATTTTGTCCTCTAGAAGTAGTGCAAGCCTACAGTGCTTCATTAAAATCAAAGTTAGAACGGCTACTACCATAATGGATGTGCGCGCAAGATGTAAATCATAAAAATCTGCAAAACTGTAGGAGGCAATTTTAAAAAATCGCATACCAATGGATTTGGAATAAAATGCTCGTCATTTTTTGTCATTATGAAAATTTCAATAAAATGAAAAATTAAGTTAATAAATTTTTTTTTGTTATAAAAAAATTGTATTTTTTTAAATTTTTTAACACCATGTTATTGTACATAAGAAACCATCAACCTCGCCCATTAACAATTTTTTTGTATGTCTTTCCGTTTTCGAGATAGCCGTTTCGAGCCAAAACTTCAAGGGGTGGTTTCACCCCTTAAACTCGAGTTACCGCAGCTAAAAAAAAATACGTGTCGATTATTTTTGGCTGCTTTATAAGTGTACAAAGTTTCATCAAAATCGAAGCCGGACCGTTCGCGATGGTTCCTTGTTAGAAGTCTCCAGTAGTCTTTTCAATTATTCTGAAATATTGCAAAGAGGTAGAAAGTTTCTAATGAGAAATAGAAGTTGAAGGGAGCAAACGCAATTTAACAGGGTCCACCGTACATAATGGAAGTGACGGATAGCGCAACACGGGGCATCCTGATCGATCAAACACGTTACGAAGGGTTCTGCATCGATCTTATCGAGGAGATTTCCAAGCTGCTGAATTTTAAATACGAATTTGAGTTAGTGCCGGACAAAAACTACGGTACATACAACCCGGAAACGAAACAGTGGAATGGCCTTATCAGACGTCTGTTGGATCACGTACGTAACACTTTCAATGCAAACAGAATTTAACTAATCCAGTAAACGCAATTTAACTTTGCCTACGCGAATACAGTACAGTTTAATAAATGTTACCGGTCCTCTATTCCCTTCGGTGTTTACTCTTAACTTTCTAGGTACTCATCGACATCAACAGTCATTCGATACTATGTCAGCAAAATTATTTACCATTTCTAATTAACTTTTTACTTCCCCTGCGTTATAAACAAATTTTGTAAAAATATATAATGTGTTAGTCCAAATTATTCCATCCATTAAACCATTATTGAGTCAGCCATTTTGTTTTCCCTGTTGCTTCATTCATTCGTCTTGCTTTAGTAAAATACATTTATTTAATCATTCATTTTGTATAATTTATTTGTTTCATATTGTTTAATGAAGATTTGGAGAAGAACGAATTTCAAAATGTTCGATTTTTCGATAAATTTATTTATTTAATTATTTGCTTAGAAAATCAATTCCATTATTGAGTCAGCCATTTTGTTTTCTCTGTTGCTTCATTCATTCGTTTTGCTTTAGTTAAATACATTTATTTAATCGTTCATTTTGTATAATTTATTTGTTTCATATTGTTTAATGAAGATTTGGAGAAGAACGAATTTCAAAATGTTCGATTTTTCGATAAATTTATTTATTTAATTATTTGCTTAGAAAATCAATTCCATTATTGAGTCAGCCATTTTGTTTTCTCTGTTGCTTCATTCATTCGTCTTGCTTTAGTTAAATACATTTATTTAATCATTCATTTTGTATAATTTATTTGTTTCATATTGTTTAACGAAGATTTGGAGAAGAACGAATTTCAAAATGTTCGATTTTTCGATAAATTTATTTATTTAATTATTTGCTTAGAAAATTCCATTCTTATAATATGTTTAATTACATTTTCACATTAATGTGTAATCTTCCTTTCGTATTAAGATGTTTTTTCTGTTTTGAGTGTCGTATTGATACTGATTTATCACTTTTATGAATCTTTTTCCTTCTTTGTTCTTTCATATTTTTCTATCTTTATGTAATCATTGTGCTACAGTTTCAATTGTTGGTTTTAAAGTCTTTTGTGCTCGGTAAGGGATGGTAGCTATAATAATCGATACATTGCAGAATGAATAAAAGTTTATATCGAATTATTCTTACTACAGGTTAACAATATTTTTTTTTTTACATCCATGGTATTATTTGAAAACAAAAAAGTCCCTTACTACATTTTATAAACTTCAAAAAGTTAGAGACTTTTATAACCTATAAAATTAGACTTTTATAACCTATACATTATTTTTGTACAATTCTCTTCTGGTATACGTTTCCATTCTTTTCTGTATTATTTTATAACAAGTGCAAAAAAGACGATAAATGAATGAATAACATAAAAAACTATTAGGTGTACAAATGAATAATCCAAATTATTTTAAGCAGTTACAAAATCAAATTTAAAGTCAATAGATTTTCCCGCTCTTTTGCGGTCATACAGTGTTGACATATAGCTAGTTAAAACAAAAGATAGTTTAGCAAAAGGCCCAACATAACCTTCAAAAGTATTCAATTCAGTAGAGTCGAAAATGGCAACAGATAAGGTCCATTATTTGAAAACAAAAAAGTCCCTTACTACATATTATAAACTTCAAAAATTTAGAGAGTTAGACTTTTATAACCTATACATTATTTTTGTGCAATTCTCTTCTGGTATACTCCATTCTTTTCTGTATTATTTTATAACAAGTGCAAAAAAGACGATAAATGAATGAATAACATAAAAAACTATTAGGTGTACAAATGAATAATCCAAATTAGTTTAAGCGGTTATAAAATCAAGTTTAAAGTCAATAGATTTTCCCGCTCTTTTGCGGTCATACAGTGTTGACATATAGCTAGTTAAAACAGAAGATAGTTTAGCAAAAGGCCCAACATAACCTTCAAAAGTATTCAATTCAGTAGAGTCGAAAATGGCAACAGATAAGGTCCATTATTTGAAAACAAAAAAGTCCCTTACTACATATTATAAACTTCAAAAATTTAGAGAGTTAGACTTTTATAACCTATACATTATTTTTGTACAATTCTCTTCTGGTATACGTTTCCATTCTTTTCTGTATTATTTTATAACAAGTGCAAAAAAGACGATAAATAAATGAATAACATAAAAACTATTAGGTGTACAAATGAATAATCCAAATTAGTTTAAGCGGTTATAAAATCAAGTTTAAAGTCAATAGATTTTCCCGCTCTTTTGCGGTCATACAGTGTTGACATATGTATAGCTAGTTAAAACAGAAGATAGTTTAGCAAAAGGCCCAACATAACCTTCAAAAGTATTCAATTCAGTAGAGTCGAAAATGGCAACAGATAAGGTCCATTATTTGAAAACAAAAAAGTCCCTTACTACATATTATAAACTTCAAAAATTTAGAGAGTTAGACTTTTATAACCTATACATTATTTTTGTACAATTCTCTTCTGGTATACGTTTCCATTCTTTTCTGTATTATTTTATAACAAGTGCAAAAAAGACGATAAATAAATGAATAACATAAAAACTATTAGGTGTACAAATGAATAATCCAAATTAGTTTAAGCGGTTATAAAATCAAGTTTAAAGTCAATAGATTTTCCCGCTCTTTTGCGGTCATACAGTGTTGACATATGTATAGCTAGTTAAAACAGAAGATAGTTTAGCAAAAGGCCCAACATAACCTTCAAAAGTATTCAATTCAGTAGAGTCGAAAATGGCAACAGATAAGGTCCATTATTTGAAAACAAAAAAGTCCCTTACTACATATTATAAACTTCAAAAATTTAGAGAGTTAGACTTTTATAACCTATACATTATTTTTGTGCAATTCTCTTCTGGTATACTCCATTCTTTTCTGTATTATTTTATAACAAGTGCAAAAAAGACGATAAATAAATGAATAACATAAAAACTATTAGGTGTACAAATGAATAATCCAAATTATTTTAAGCAGTTACAAAATCAAGTTTAAAGTCAATGGATTTTCCCGCTCTTTTGCGGTCATACAGTGTTGACATATAGCTAGTTAAAACAAAAGATAGTTTAGCGAAAGGCCCAACATAACCTTCAAAAGTATTCAATTCAGTAGAGTCGAAAATGGCAATAGATTAGGTCCATGGTATTATTTGAAAACAAAAAAGTCCCTTACTACATTTTATAAACTTCAAAAATTTAGAGAATTAGACTTTTATAACCTATACATTATTTTTGTACAATTCTTTTCTGGTATACGTTTCCATTCTTTTCTGTATTATTTTATAATAAGTGCAATAAAGATGATAAATAAATGAATAACATAAAAACTATTAGGTGTACAAATGAATAATCCAAATTATCTTAACCAGTTAAGTGTGTTTGACGACTATATCCGTCATGGAGATGTGGCAGAATTTTGTGTCATGACGACTATATCCGTCATGCGTAAAATTTTGTTACAATTTGATATTTAAATTGTAATTTTGACGAAAATTAAATTATATTCGTAAATTGTAATATGTTAAAAATGTTTAGAGGTCAAGACGAAATGAAACAAACAAATAAAAATTATAAATAATTAATATAAAAAAAACCACATGTACTACGAATTAGTTTTCGTAAATGTATCGTTGTCTTGTATTAGTCATCACAGAAGCAATTATGGATTCATATATTCATTATGCATTGTCCATGCTTTGCTCAACACCATTCTCTAACAGCAAGTTAAAGTAAGAAATTGATTTTTCATGTTTTTTTTTCGTTCATATGCAAAATATTTATGTTAATTTAGGTAAATAAATAAATGTGTGTAATGAAATAAAAAAAATAAAAGTCATTTTATTACAACCTAATTTCATATTACACATATTCTGTGTTTGACGACTATACCCGCCATCGCTTGATTATCGCGACACACACTGGTAACTGGTTAAGCAGTTATAAAATCAAGTTTAAAGTAAATAGATTTTCCCTCTCTTTTGCGGTCATACAGTGTTGACATATAGCTAGTTAAAACAAAAAATAGTTTAGCGAAAGGCCCAACATAACCTTCAAAAGTATTCAATTCAGTAGAGTCGAAAATGGCGACAGATAAGGTTCATATCCGACACTGCATTCTTCACGAATTCCAACAAGGGAAAAATGCTGCAATAACGTGCGAATCGATTGGTTCCTTTCTCGATGAAGGTGTTGTATCGTATGATGTGTGTCCATTTTGGTTTAAGCGGTTTAAAAGCGGTGATTTGAGTCTAATCGACAAACAACGCCCTGGAGGTCCTCGGAAGTGCGACAACGATGATTTGGAACAACTGCTTGCAAAAAGAACTTGCAGAACAGTTAGGAGTAACCCAGCAAACGATTTCCAAACGCCTACGTGAGATGGGAAGGATCCAGAAAGAAGGAAAATGGTTTCCGCGTGAACTCACTGCAACCAACAAAAATCAACAAGTGGCAGCGTGTCTTTCTCTTCATAATAAGCAGCGTCGAAAGTCTATCTTGTGGATAATCGTTACGGGCGATGAGAAGTGGATACTCTGTGACAATCCGAAACGCAGAAAGTCATGGGTAAATCCCGGCGAAGCGTCAACATCGGTTGCAAAACCCAATCGCTTCGGAAAGAAGGTTCTTCTCTGCATTTGATGGGATATCAAGAGCGTGGTTTATTATGAGTTGTTGGAACCGGGTGAAACAGTTACTGTGGACTGCTACCAACGTCAATTAATCTGCTTGAGTCAAGCATTGGAACGAAAACGTCCGTATACTGGCGAAGGAGAACGTCCAGTGAAATTGTTGCATGACAACGCCAGGCCACATATTGCTACCCATACAAAAGACACCATAATGAGTCTTGGCTGGGACGTCATACAGCACCCAACGCATTCACCAGACATTGCTACATCTGATTATCACCTGTTCCGGTCGATACAACACGCCCTATCCGATATGCACTTCCAATCAGTGGATGAGATCCGAAAATGGCTTGACGACTTTACCAGGTCCAAAAACGTAAAATTTTTCCGAGATGGAATCCATCAGCTGCCTGAAAGATGGCTTAAAGTTATAGAAAGTAACGTCGAATGCTTCGATTGAACAATTCAATTTACTTTCTTTTAAAATAAACATCGAATGTGGCTGAAAAAATTGGATTATTCATTTGTACACCTAATATTTAGACAGCGGTAATTTGATGATTCAGACAGAAATTTGGTTGCAGGACGCCGATCTCGCTATTTGCGATCTGACTATTACTTACGAACGGGAGAGCGCCGTTGATTTCACGATGCCGTTTATGAATCTAGGTACACTGCCTCTGGTTATTTGTTATCCGCCATTTTTCTAGCGAGTCCCGCGACACTGATATCTCGTTTCGTGTGTCCGAGTCAGGTATCAGCATTTTATTCAGAAAGCCCGAAGAAAAGGAGCCAGATCTCTTCTCGTTCCTGTCACCGCTGTCAACGGACGTCTGGATTTACATGGCGACTGCTTTCTTGGCAGTTTCAATAATGCTGTTCCTGCAAGCTAGGTAAGGTGGTGAGAAAAATAATACATGTGCCGGAAGTCCCCGTCAAGACGAAACTTTTCTTACAAATTAGTTGAACACTTTTGATCCCGCGGAAACGCAAAGTTGCGATAACGTTGCGTTTCAGAAGTTCTTCGTTTAATATTTGACGATCGCGACCGTTTACATCGGTAAATAATTCCAGTGAACTCGCTGCATCGCACTTTCTTCGAGATTTGAGTAATCAATTTCAGTATACAGAAGTTGACTGTTCGTATTTAAAAATGTATAAAGTAAAACTTGATAATAAAATTGTTAAAATTAATTTTTATACACCGAATCAAGTGTTGAAACATTCACGTATAAACTATGCTTCTTCAAAATATATTTGTTGTAATGTCTTTATTTGAAGTATTGCATATTGAATTTAACTCTAGGTTATTGAAAAAAGTAATTTCTTCCACATTGTTCGATTTCTAAAGGATATTTATGGGAGAAATTTCTTTGTAACCATTAATGGCGAAAATTTCAAAATTACCATTACTTATTTATATGAAACCATATATTCCTGTTAGATTTAATGAGACAAGTAACGTGCACTTCTGATTTACTCTTTATGAAATGAACTTCGACCATAAATTTATCAGCTTCAACATAGGATGATTATTTGCACCCGTTATCACATAATATGAACCTATGCGAGTAAAAGTGAGCTAAATTAAAGAAGTTCGAAAATTGAATTACCTCCATATTCTTGATCGTATTTAATATGGCGTTTTAAGTATTAGACTTTCAAGGTCAATTATAATTCACTTAATCGTTTCAACGCATTTGAAAAATATTCAAGATATTTTGCATATTCTTGATCGTATTTAATATGGCGTTTTAAGTATTAGACTTTCAAGGTCAATTATAATTCACTTAATCGTTTCAACGCATTTGAAAAATATTCAAGATATTACAAGATTATCAAAATATTCCAAAAAATATTTTTCAGAAATTGAAAATCCCAAAATCCTTAAAAATTGTTTTCTCTTAAAAAATTGTACAGAAATTTATTACAAAATTCTGAAAATTTTAAAATTATAAAATTATAAATTTTAAAATTCTAAAATATTCTGACAAATATTTTTCAGGAATTGAAAATCCCAAAATCCTTAAAAACTGTTTTCTCTTAAAGAATGGTACAGAAATTTATTACAAAATTCTGAAAATTTTTAAATTCTAAAATTCTAAATTTTAAAATTCTAAAATATTCTGACAAATATTTTTCAGGAATTGGAAATCCCAAAATCCTTAAAAACTGTTTTCTCTTAAAAAATTGTATAGAAATTTATTACAAAATTCTGAAAATTTTAAAATTCTAAAATTCTAAATTTTAAAATTCCAAAATATTCTGACAAATATTTTTCAGGAATTGGAAATCCCAAAATCCATAAAAATTGTTTTCTCTTAAAAAATTGTACAGAAATTTATTACAAAATTCTGAAAATTTTTAAATTCTAAAATTCTAAATTTTAAAATTCTAAAATATTCTGACAAATATTTTTCAGGAATTGGAAATCCCAAAATCCATAAAAATTGTTTTCTCTTAAAAAATTGTACAGAAATTTATTACAAAATTCTGAAAATTTTTAAATTCTAAAATTCTAAATTTTAAAATTCTAAAATATTCTGACAAATATTTTTCAGGAATTGAAAATCCCAAAATCCTTAAAAATTGTTTTCTCTTAAAAAATTGTACAGAAATTTATTACAAAATTCTGAAAATTTTAAAATTCTAAAATTCTAAAATATTCTGACTAATATTTTTCAGGAATTGGAAATCCCAAAATCCTTAAAAACTGTTTCCTCTTAAAGAATTGTACAGAAATTTATTACAAAATTCTGAAAATTTTAAAATTCTAAAATTCTAAAATATTCTGACTAATATTTTTCAGGAATTGAAAATCCCAAAATCCTTAAAGATTGTTTTCTCATAAAAAATTGTACAGAAATTTATTACAAAATTCTGAAAATTTTAAAATTCTAAAATTCTGAAAATTTTAAAATTCTAAAATATTCCGACAAATATTTTTCAGGAATTGAAAATCCCAAAATCCTTAAAAATTGTTTTCTCTTAAAAAATTGTACAGAAATTTATTACAAAATTCTGAAAATTTTTGGACATAACCCCTACCGTAAACTACGTTAGTTGTGATATTTTGAATGTTTACTTTCAGAATGGCGCCCGGTGAATGGGATAATCCACACCCCTGCAATCCCGATCCTGAGGAATTGGAAAACAATTTGGACTTAAATAATTCTATGTGGCTCACCGTTGGCTCTATCATGCAACAGGGCTCTGATATACTTCCCAAGTAAGTACACGATTATAGTAGATTTTTGTACGATATAGAATTAACTTTAAAAAATTTCTGTCAAAATTATGTGACTCCCCTGGTAAAAACAAATCTATAAAGAAATCTATTATTCATACATACGCGGTAAGACTACAAATCTAGCGGTGATATTATACATAGCTAAAGGAATTGTCAAATTTATGAAATAATAAGAAAGTGAAAAACGAAAATACTGAAGAGTTCTTATTAGTGTCATCGAAATTCATGAAATATTATGGAAACAAAAATGGTCCACGAGTCAACAAAATATTTCTTTATACATAATTTTCTTTCAATGTCATACATAGCAAAACACTCATACTAATTAAAAATAAAAATAGAGAAAGAAATAATAAGAAAGTGAAAAACGAAAATACTGAAGAGTTCTTATTAGTGTCATCGAAATTCATGAAATATTATGGAAACATAAATGGTCCACGAGTCAACAAAATATTTCATTATACATAATTTTCTTTCAATGTCATACATAGCAAAACACTCATACTAATTAAAAATAAAAATAGAGAAAGAAATAATAAGAAAGTGAAAAACGAAAATACTGAAGAGTTCTTATTAGTGTCATCGAAATTCATGAAATATTATGGAAACATAAATGGTCCACGAGTCAACAAAATATTTCATTATACATAATTTTCTTTCAATGTCATACATAGCAAAACACTCATACTAATTAAAAATAAAAATAGAGAAAGAAATAATAAGAAAGTGAAAAACGAAAATACTGAAGAGGTCTTATTAGTGTCATCGAAATTCATGAAATATTATGGAAACAAAAATGGTCCCCGAGTCAACAAAATGTTTCATTATACATAATTTTCTTTCAATGTCATACATAGCAAAACACTCATACTAATTAAAAATAAAAATAGAGAAAGAAATAATAAGAAAGTGAAAAACGAAAATACTGAAGAGTTCTTATTAGTGTCATCGAAATTCATGAAATATTATGGAAACAAAAATGGTCCCCGAGTCAATAAAATATTTCATTATACATAATTTTCTTTCAATGTCATACATAGCAAAACACTCATACTAATTAAAAATAAAAATAGAGAAAGAAATAATAAGAAAGTGAAAAACGAAAATACTGAAGAGTTCTTATTAGTGTCATCGAAATTCATGAAATATTATGGAAACATAAATGGTCCACGAGTCAACAAAATATTTCATTATACATAATTTTCTTTCAATGTCATACATAGCAAAACACTCATACTAATTAAAAATAAAAATAGAGAAAGAAATAATAAGAAAGTGAAAAACGAAAATACTGAAGAGGTCTTATTAGTGTCATCGAAATTCATGAAATATTATGGAAATAAAAATGGTCCCCGAGTCAACAAAATATTTCATTATACATAATTTTCTTTCAATGTCATACATAGCAAAACACTCATACTAATTAAAAATAAAAATAGAGAAAGAAATAATAAGAAAGTGAAAAACGAAAATACTGAAGAGTTCTTATTAGTGTCATCGAAATTCATGAAATATTATGGAAACAAAAATGGTCCCCGAGTCAATAAAATATTTCATTATACATAATTTTCTTTCAATGTCATACATAGCAAAACACTCATACTAATTAAAAATAAAAATAGAGAAAGAAATAATAAGAAAGTGAAAAACGAAAATACTGAAGAGTTCTTATTAGTGTCATCGAAATTCATGAAATATTATGGAAACAAAAATGGTCCCCGAGTCAACAAAATGTTTCATTATACATAATTTTCTTTCAATGTCATACAGAGCAAAACACTCATACTAATTCAAAATAGAAATAGAGAAAGAAACCATTCATAATTGTTGAGACTGATCCATAATCGAGAAGTAATCCAGCAGATGGCGATCGATTACCTGCTCTACTTTACCGGCAGAAGCGAGACTTACGATTATGTTTTGTCTTGTTACCACTGACAATAATAATAAAATAATTCAACTTTATCTGTCTACCCCATTTGAAGATCAAACTTTAACACGTTGCCAGATCAAAACCGTATAATATTTATCAAAAGTAAAATTTTGATTTTGTACCATTGTAAGCTACATAACCTAAAATTTGCTTCGGTATTTATTTTCGTAATCTTGTTAAAATTCACAAATTTTATCCAAATTTATTTTTCTCAACGTCCTAACTTGATAATTAATTTTCCTAACATCATAATGATAAATCCTGTCACCCATATATGGCTGACGTGGCAGTCAAAGTGTTAAAGATCTCTTTAAAATCTGATGACAATCTGACAATTTTTTTCAACATTTCGTTCCACTTTATAGGAGCGTATCTTATGTTATGGGAGCATGATTTGAAAGTTAGACATGTTTTTAATAAAAACAAGGAAATAAAGAATAAATATCTTACTGTGCCGATTCTCTGGAATGTTCCATTAACATTTATTCTTTTATTTCCTAATTTTAATTGAAATTCAATTTCCAAATCGCACGTGTTTTATAACATAATATACACTCTATCAATGTGGAGCAATACATAGATTAAAAAAAATTATAATCAAATTGTAAGAGGATCCATGTAAAAAAAGCTTTAATTTTCGTCTTTGTAATGACTGGACTGCGGATCTTCATGCAAATTCATATTTTTATTAATAAATTTAATGAAATTGGAGCTTTGTAGAGGGTTGTCTCAACCCCCAGATATAATAATTCGTACCTTACTTTAAGTATTTCTTATATTCTTGCATATTAACTAAATTCTTGCATATTAACTGTAGTTTTTTGAAAATTAAAATTTCCCATAAATGCATAAACATCCTCAGTCTAGTAATGACTTTAATTGGTCATTCAATGCCCAATAATGATCAGCTTATGGCCATCAATGGTCAACAATTAGATTGAAAACAACGTGTCAGCAGTCGTGTGAAAATTCAAGTGGTGGGATCAACCGAAATAATTCTTCTGTAGATCGAACGATCGAATTGACCTGTCAACTTTGACGCATCTACTCACCTCGCCGTTCCATTATGCTCATACCCTAAGTTTTCAGTTGAACAGAGCACCCTGTTTCGCCGCAGCCCACCTTACGTGCACGCAAAGCTGTGCAATAATTGCGGCCCGGAAACCACAACGCGACTCCAACTAATTTACCGGCGCAACTGCAACCCTAGAATTACGTGTTCCGTCCACTTCAAGTAAATTGAAGTTTCTTCAACTTTATTAAATCGCGATTAATCAAATTTCCCAACAATTATGAGAGAACAAATGTCGTAACGAATATCTGTAACGAGGTTTAGCATTTTAACGATCGTTGCGTCGTTGAAACTCCGTGCAATTGGAAATGTAAGCCTTTAAACAAAGTATATAGTTATTAACTGCCCTCTGCTGGTTCTATAATTGAATATTTGTGGCAGTAACCTCCACAATTTTATATTTTACATTAGTATCGCAAGGGCCTCGAGAAATGAAACACAAGACTGAATTTCATTTTTAACAATTAATAAAATAATAAACAATACAGAATATAGAATCGTCTATATAGTGAAAACAAAAACTTGTTGCCATGGTAACTCATAGCGGGTAGATACGAACAATAGATTCTACTTAGCTGCATCGGAAGTTACTTATGACTCGACCTAATACAAGAGCAGGAAAATTTCAAGAACAGCAATAAATGAAGACATCTTTCACAGACTACTATTAACATCTGATCCACTCATATCATCAATAAGATTAAAATCATACAAAAGGAGAAGAAAATTATTAGATCCTGAAGCTATGCAATTACTCAAATAAGGACAGCAGAACTCAGCCCATAACCTCAAAAACCAAATGGTAAAATTGTATCCTCCGTATATGACAGACATTTTGTTACAGTGTTTAATAATATTATCTGGAATAATATTGAATTATATATTTCTATATAATCCAAAAACTAAATGTTTTTCGATGTAAATTGTTTAAGAAAATAATATGTATCAAATAAGGAATACACTTCTGGCTTATTTTGCTACATTTGTATGAGACAGTTACGTAAATAATATTATCTGGAATAATATTGAATTATATATTTCTATATAATCCAAAAACTAAATGTTTTTCGATGTAAATTGTTTAAGAAAATAATATGTATCAAATAAGGAATACACTTCTGGCTTATTTTGCTACATTTGTATGAGACAGTTACGTAAATAATATTATCTGGAATAATATTGAATTATATATTTCTATATAATCCAAAAACTAAATGTTTTTCGATGTAAATTGTCTAAGAAAATAATATGTAACAAATAAGGAATACACTTCTGGCTTATTTTGCTACATTTGTATGAGACAACTACGTTTACAACATTGCAAAGACCAATTAAATAAACATAAATGTTATAGGTTATGATTGTATAGGTTATAAGGTTATGATTGTTATATATTATTTAAGAGAAAACATCCTGAAAGCGTTGAGATATGTTCGAACGTGGGACAACTTGGGACTCAATAGATATTCAAGTCAATTGTAAAAATATTGACAATATTCTGTAGTACATTCAACGTTACGTTCCTAGTATATTAAATACAATAATTTCAGCTGTAATTAATACTTTTTTAATGGAAAATAATGCTGTTTACGTTGGAAAAGAAACGAAGAAAAAAAATTAAACGAGATCGTATAATATATTAAAATAAAATTATATATTATAATATATTAAAATATATTCTGTATTGTTTATTATTTTATTAACTATTAAAAATGAAATTCAGTGTTTCATTTCTCGAGGCCTTTGCGATACTAATGTAAAACACAAAACTGTGGAGGTTACTGCCACGAATATTATAGAACCAACAGAGAGCAGTTAATAACTATATATTTTGTTTAAAGGCCTAAATTTTCAATTGCACGGAGTTTCAACGACGCAACGATTGTTAAAACGCTATCGTGAAAAAGACAGTACATTTTTCGAGCGTCAAACATACAATGGCGGCCAGCTACTTAAGACCGCTGGTTAGTTAAG